ACGAGACCAGATATAAGTTATACCTCCAGCCTCATCAGCTCCCTCAGCGCCAGGGCGCCAAGGCGCGCTGCCGCGATCGCCAGAAAGTGCATCGGGTTCCTCCAAGGCACGTCCAAGCAGTACTTGTGGATAAATACCACGTCACCCGAGCTCATTACTTGGACGGACGCGTCCTATGCACCTGATGGAGGACGCTCGCATACAGGGTGGTTGCTGATGATGGGGCAGTCGCCTATCAACTGGCGATCGGCTCGCCAAAGCACCATAACATTGTCGACGGCTGAAAGTGAGCTGGCAGCAAGTGTAGAAGGAGCCTTGGCCCTTCTCAGCGCAGAAGCGCTTCTTTCAGAGCTGAAACTGGGCTTGATGAAGTCAAGGCTGCGTACAGACAGTACGTCAGCGGAAGCAATCCAGCGTGGATCGGGCTCTTGGCGCACACGTCACTTGAGGATTAAGGCCGGGTGGATATGCGAGAGATTGCAGGCCAACGACATGGAGCTTGAACATTGGCCTGGAGATCTTCAGGTAGCTGATGCTCTCACGAAACCGCTCTCGTCGTTGAGGTTGCGGTCGCTATCTCGCATGATGGGTCTGATGTCCTTGGAGGAGATTGTTGAAGAGGCCAGGAAGCAGCATAGCAACAGCAGCAGCAGCAGTGCCAATGCCCCTAGCCCCTACGGGTTTAAGGTATTAGTTGCGATGATGGTCTTGTCTCAGGCAACAACTTGTGAGGCAACTGAAGTCGTACTGCATGAGCCTATGATGGTGGACAGGAGCTTGGTGATGTGGTGCGTGTTTGCTGTTGTGGCCTTGTTGTGGACAGTGGCATGGGAGCTCCTTAAGTTCGCAGGACAGTCACTATACCTTTCAGCAACACCGGGGGCAACTGCAAGAAGAATGAGGCGACTGCGTAGGATTCGTGATGCAACAACGGAAGCCATACAAAATGAACTGCGTGCACAGAGAGAGCAAGACACAACGTCCCGGATTCCACCAGAGGTTGAGCGCGCCTTGGACGCTCAGAGACAATATGACAGTAGCTCGACTTCAAGGGACCGGTCTGCATCGGCTGGGCGAGTGCCGGATACGCCGCTGAGTTCAGCTAGGACTTGTTACAGAGCAGATCAACGAGACCGTGCAGTGCAAACCACAGGACCGGCGTTTGCGCCGGCAAAGACAGAAATTCGAACGGAAGTGAGAAGGGAAGTTCGGGTTCCTGAAAGAATTCATGTGGTTCCTGGCAACCAGTGCTACCATGTGTTTAATCCGTGCCATGCCTTTCGACATCGAGGTACCCAAGAGCGAGTGCAGACATTACGCATCTGCGAGTACTGTGTGAGGCATGGAGGAAGCAATCCCGCAGTGCCGAGTCCGACCTTGGATGAGATTTTGAGGTCTGGTGAGATGCCAAACTTCGACCGCCCTGGAATCGATCGGGGATAGTCAAGTCCAGCCTAGCGGCACACTTGAGGAGGAGTGAGGAAATCCAGGTCGGCATCAG